CAGTGCTTTTAAGTCGACAAAATTTCTTTAGATCATTTCATCATGTGGCCTTCCCAATAACTGACAGGCAGATAGATTAAAATATGATTGATATTTCTGTTTGGAGGGAAGTAGCACTGAGAGGAACAGTGATCAGTCCAAGGTGGCACAGTAGCAAGAAATGGACTCAACATTAAAGCAAGAGCTTGAACTCGAGATTCTTTCAGAATTTCCATATTCTATCATATTTTGCTGTTTCTACTTAAAGCTATTGGCCACCATTCGACACTAAGCTTCTGTAGACAAAAGGAGGGTATTTTCAACTGTTATTAGAATTCTTCCTTGTCTGATTATTTCAGGCCCATGGGTGGGTGCCAGAATGGAAGTGTACAAGTGTTTCATCTGATCTGGGTCCGGCTCTCTTTGCGCAATGCAGAAACTGGTCAACAGCTGTAAGGCACTCTGCCACAGCTGACTTGGCTATGAGACATGTCACACGTTGTTGATTTCTTGGCCTGCTTTCCTCTCCTCTCCTCTTCCACTCCCTTCACTCCCAGGCTGGAGAAGCAGAGAGTCTGACCTGAGGCTCTGCCTGTCCTGGCTGGCTACCCATCTGCGTCAAAGTGGTGCTGGCTTTGGCGCCTGGGCGGCTGGACTCGCGACCATCCTTGGGCAGCTGAGATGATTTCTTTCTGATGGTTTCTTGACCTGTGAAGCCAGGAGAAAGTTATTTTTGCTTAGAGAGACCTCAGAATTTCAATGGGGAGTTTGGTTTTGGACATTTTCTAATGCCCTACTCAGTTCTTAAAACATGAAAAGAGCTAAGTCATTTTCAAAGTGATGTTGCAGGTTGGCATGTCCACTCGTGGGCCTACAGCTGGGCTCATGCTCTCCAAACCATCCTTGTCTAAATGAGACAGGGAACCCAATCACATCCCTGTTGTTCTGTATTACCTAAAAGGCAATCCTCCCATGGGGCAGTGGTGAATGAAATTCTAACACCCATACAAAAATGTTGAGAAACAAGCTCAGTCTCTTTAGAATCTTGTAAAGTTAACATCTTATCATGGAAGGCGTTGCTGAAGTGGCATGCCCAAACCAAACCCACAGGAGAGAGATTAACTCTATGAAGGCAAAAGGCCGAGATGAGTAAAGACCCGTGCATTCCATGGGATAGTCCTGTGTATTCCAACAAGCAGTAACCTCTTTTGAAACCATTGCCAATTAACCCTCAAAAGAAGTTTTCTTGGATGAATGGATGGAATCCCATCGCATTCATCACAGGGCTTTCATGAAGACCTCCCCTTTATCTGGAAGGGCCTTTTCCCAGCATATTCATTGTTACATTCAGTCAAAAAATATTCTAAGATCTTCTAGATACCAAGCACTGTACTCTGGATATAATGGATATGAGTAAGTCAGGGTTCACATGTTCAAGGAATTTATAATCTAGCATGGGAGACAGATCAGTGACACATTGAAACAAAAGGTGTAAAAGAAAAACACTGAGTGCCGAGGGAGTTTGTAGAGGTGGAAAAGCCAACAGCGGGCAAGTCAAGAAAAGGGTACTGTTCACCTTGTAAGAACTTATTCACTATGTAAGAACTTGTTCACCATGTAAGAACTTGTTCATTATGCTTCAGAAGATTGGAGACTGACGAGAATTAGGCTTGGGGTGGATTAATGATTGTACATTGAGCATTGAGTCCCCTATACAGAATTTTATTTGTTAACAACCATTTGATCAATAAATATGAGAGATGCCCTCTCAAAAAAAAAATCAGGAAATCAGCGAAAATGATTCAGGAGTTACTAAGTAAAATAATAAAACTAATAAGAACCACTATTTATTGAGTATTCATTAAGTTTAGGTGCCTTTACATTCATTATCTCAAATAACATATCTTATAATACTCATTTCCCAAATTAGGACATTGAGACTCAAACACTTGATCAAGCCCACACAAAAAATGACTGCCAGGGCTAGGGTTAGGATATATCTGCCCCTGAAGTTACTGTGTTCCATGCAAATGCAAAGCTGGCTCTTAATTAATATATCCATTCTTTCGGACTACCCACTTCTCTGATAGTCCATGATTCCTCTATATCTAATACCAGCCTAATTCTTTCACCAATTCAAGGAACTCTCTCAACACATCCCACACTATATTTCACCATTTCTAAGATGCCCCTTTATTCATATTTGTATATCTCTGAAGTTACAATCATTGAAACATCAATGGTATGGCCAAGCTTGTGATGTCTTTTTCTTCAGTTATACATAAAAGCAGCATTGCATCTTCAAGTTGATAGCATCTGAAATTCCTTAAATATTCAGTATGGTGCTTATGTTGTATTGTTTATTTTCTGTCTTCCCCCAGTAGACTATAAGCTCCTATAAGCTCCAAGAGGGTAGGACTTTCATCTGCCTTTTTCATTTTTGTACCTACCTCACCTGAAATGTTGTTGAATAAAGTAACGACTGATTAGATATCAAGTGTCCACCATGTATCCATAACTGTGTGAGGTGCTGGATATAGAGTGAAGAATAAAACAGGCATGGCCTTTTCCCTCCTGGAGAAAAAGCTAAGTGAACAAACAAGCAGATAAACAAATAAGCACATAAATGAATATGCAGTATTATTTGGGAAGTTGAGAGAAGTGAAAATGTTGAAGATACAGTGGAGAGAATAAATGGGGTATTTTCCATATTTAGATTGGGAAGTCAGGAGGCCTTCTCCAGGGTGATATCAGAAGGGAGAAGGCAATAAATTCAAGAATCCAGACTATTGTGCTATATCTATACATATCTACTGACATGTATAATAGCTGGTCTTGACCATCCTCCTGCAAAAACATTTTCTCCTCTGTTGCAACAATGTATGGTACTTATTGTATCTGCATGCGCTGTTTGTATATTTTTGCAGATATCCATTCTGTCCACTAGGTCACAAATATATTCCTCCTGGTAGTACTGAAAGAGCGCTGGATTGGGAGACAGTAGGATAGCAGTATAGTAGTTCTAGCTTTGGCCCTATGTTACAAATTGGGGAAGTAATATAAACTCAACACACCTTTTTACCTCTACCTAAAAATTTAGGAGGTCATATTAGAGAATCTTGAAGGTGTCATTGAGGTTTAACATTTAAATTCTATAACTATCAGCCCATTTTAACAAACAGTTATTTAGAAGCTACTATTTGCTAAGCTGCTGCACTTTCTTCAGGGCCCAGAAGAATTAAGATGAAAGAAAAGACAAAGACACAATCTGTTCATTTAAGGTGCTTATGATCTTGGGGAGGAAACTGATAGATTGATGACTGCAATGTAATAAAGCATAGAATGTCCTCTGCTTTTGAACTTCAACTATTACCATTGTCTTTCCTAGGTGTGAGCCAAGTACCCTCAGTAAAAGCACTTAATTCCACCTGCCACCAATAGATGGGGCAAGTGGTTACATCAACTGGACATAGTTGCATTGGACTGGAGAGCTTATGGATGAGAGGGAGCTTTAAGAATCTAAGTTGTTTTTTGGAAAATAAGCATCTCTGTGCCAGGGCAACATGGGAATTGAAAGTAAGGGTTGCTTTGTACCATCCAGATACAGATGGGGGTGGTGGTGCTGTGCAGTGAGTTGACACAGTATGGAGTGAAGTTTTGTAGGACATTATATCTCAGCCAAAGTTCGAAGGAAGAAAAATAATTTAGCAGATATATTAGTTGAGATACCTTCAATTGCAAGATACAGACTCCTCAACTACAGGTGGATGTGATAAGATGTGCAACCATTGTTCCATGTAATGCAAAGTACAGAAGCAAGGAAATTACAGGTTTGGTTCAGTGGCTCAAAATGTCATTGAGGACCCAAGCGCTTTCTACCTCCTGCTCTGTCTTCCTCAGATATTGGGTTTTGTTTATAAGTTTATCCCCTCCTCACTGCAACATGGCTGCCCAATCTCTTGGCACGGTGTTTTAAACGACTGTCTTTAAAAAGGCTGAAAGGGACAACTGTCCTCAAAATCCTGTTCATCGAAGAGAAGAACCATGTTCTTCTTGCACTGTTTCCCCCATTTCTCACCCCAGTCTCAGCAGATGTCCCTTCAGTCCCAGTGTCCATGGCTGGGCCGCATACCCATGCTCTGAATGCAAGGGAGGCTAGGAAAGTCTGTACCTGGCCTTTTCAGCCTCCACCTTGGATGGCAGACTGTCTGCTAGGAGGAAGTGTGCATGTGAAGGGGAGAAGCAGTGAATGGTGTGGTTGTTTGGTAAGCCTCCAACACCGTCCTCAAAACAGGGAATGAAGGAATGGGGAGTTATTAATGGATCTCATGCTCAGGCCCTGGCACAGTCCTTCGCTTTCTAAATTGTAGGCATTCAACTGATCCTTGTTGACTGTGAGATCATTGTCATGAAAATGGAAAATCGATGTCAAGTCAGGCAAGTGAGTAGTAAAATCAGTCATTCTTTCTAGGCCATGACTTGATAAAAAACATTTTAATTTTGTCACCTGAATGGGTGGCTGTTGATATTTCTCCCAGGTGGCTAAACTAAAATACTTATTCAACATCAGGAGAGGTAGTGGTGGCTTTTTTTTTGTAATTTTTTATTAAGGTATGATTGACATACACTCTTATGAAGGTTTCACATGAAAAAACAATGTGGTTACTACATTTGTGGTGACTTTTTTTAAAACCATGTCTAATTTGGCAACAGTTACATAATCTAAAAGCAAATCAGGGAAAAATCTGAGTTAAATGGAAAAAGACCAGATCATAGGAAATGAAAGTTTTACTGAAAACACCATGCATGGGGTTCTAATGAAAAAAAACAGAGAGAAAAGTGGCCCCAGGGCTATGGAAAAAATTAAGTACATCCTAATAAAGTACTTAGTGTTCTCTGATTACACATGGAAACTCACAAGGAAGCAGAAGAGGACATCAGATTAGGTCCATTTTAAAAATCAGCTCTATATGCAAAGAGACATTAACCCTTTTTTAAAACTTCCTTTGCCTTTCTCACAGGTACCAATAAAATCGAAAGCCAAAAAACTGACTGCTGACTACAACAATAACAACAAAAAGATTATGACAAAGGGACTGAGAGAAGACACGAGTATTGTGTTACAGGAGTGTGAGTTACTTGAAATAATTCATATGGAGTAAAGCAGAGACTTCAAAATCAATATGGGCAGATTGCAGCACACTGATCCTTTGAAATGCCTTCTGTCCATGGCTTTTTAAGCCTTTTAAACTCCTGTGCAGAATGGGGAGAGCTTGCCAGCAGAAGAGAAAACATTAGAGGTGAATAAAACATTCGGGGCTATTTCCCCTTGCTCGTTCTTGGATGTGATTGCTCCATTTGTAAATGACTGAGCTATTTAACTCCAACCACAAGGTATTTTCAGTGTTTTCTTACATCTGGAATTTTATTCTTCTGCTCCAGTCCACTCTAGGTTCCTTGGCATGAATGCAAAGGCAGGCCAGAATACAGGAAAAAGGGCCACAGAGAACCATAGGCAGTTTTCTCATTTTTAAATGTTCCCAGTTTCATAGTTTGCTATGATGTGTCAAGCCATGCACCATATTTCTTTATATTCATTTTGCGCTTTAGAGTTTGTTTGTTTGTTTGTTTTTAATTGCAAATGGATGTAAGGTACAGTAATCTTTTTAGTGCTTGAGTATTCCCTGTGGTTCTTAGTCTGGTTCTAGGTCAAACTAATTTCTGGGGATGGGTGAGTCCATGTAAGTGACTTCTTTAGACAGTGTCCTCTTATTGTGACACCATTTTGGGAGTGAAATTGGCAGAAACACTGTAACAAAAACCATGACCTCCAGAACTATGTGATAGTACATTTGTGTACTATCTTTTAAAGCTGCTAATTTGTGGTAAAAGGTTACAGAAACAATAGGTAACTTAGGCAGACCTCATTGATCATCAAATTCAACCTTATTTTTGAGTGAAAGGCGCAGTGAGCTTGGTCATTCATTCATTCATTCATTCATTCAACAATAATTTATTGAGCCGCTAACATCCTTCAGACACAATTAACAGTAAGCATATGATCCATGCTGTGCCTTCTGAACCTTCCACCAGGACCCTAGAAATTAGAATCTAGAGTGGAGAGACCCACCACCCAGAAGAAAGATGTTTGTGGCTGATGAATTCTGATGGTGGTACACCTCATCCCCAGAGCCCCACTGTTTCCATTTCTTCCAGAAGCTTGGTAATTTGCTCTTCTCTTGACTTTTTCACCACCCAGGTCCTTAAGATAAGTTCCTTCGTTTATGCAAGTTGACTTAAGTCAGTTTCTGTGACTGTTATGCCCACTCTGGGAAATTATCTAAATGGTCAGTTGATAAGAGTTCTCTGATCACTTCCAAGTTTTGTGACAGTGTTTTAGAACAATACTTTATTTTGGCAAGCTCCTTTTATTCCACAGAAATAGTTTGCAGGTCATTAGTCAACTGATGTTTTATCCCCAACAAGCTAAATTTACATCCTAATCTCAACATTTGGGAAATATTTTTCTGTGTCTACATGGGAAGAAAAATATGAACCACAGACTGAATTTGCAATCCTCTGATGTCTGAGCAGCTAAAATTTGTTATGGGAAGAATTGTTTTGTTATGAATTTCCATGAACATTATCTACCATCAGGAAATAGGCAAATTGCCTTTGTTAGATAGCTTTAAAAAAAAGCCATGGAAGGGGTGATGGCAGATGTATAATGCCTTAAATAAGTATCTATCTTCCTTCTCCAGGAATAGCAAATTTTTCCAATAAAAGGAAAGTATAAATCAGAAAGCATAGGTATTGTCTGCAGAGGCACAGGTCTAAGAGGTTTGGCTTAATGATTTCAAATATGGACTTCTAAAAAATCTGGCCCTCAACACCCACTATCTCTCTCCTTACAGAATTTACCAGACTCAAATGATAGCAAAGTTTAACAGCCTGGGAAAGTGGCTGGAGTTGAATTCAGGCTCCACTACTTGATTTCTTGGATCAGCTCAGTTACCCCTGTGAGCCTCAAGATCCTTAACTAAAAGTGAACAATACCATCTATGTGCTGGCTAAATGATGGGGCTTTAATGAACTAATAGGTGACGTTCATCAGCCATAGAGACGTTCATCGATATTCCGGTTCTCTTCTAGGTAAGATTGAACTTTCTCACCCCTTTTGGAGTGAGAGTGGTGGCCAAGTGACTGACTTCGGCCAGTGAAGTGTGAGCAGAACGGACACATGTCACTTCTGGGAGAGAGCCCTTCAGAGCCAGTGTTAGAGGCCCCATCTCATTGTCTGCTTCAGCAGCACCAGAGTCCTGGAGGGTGGCCTCTCAATCTCCCAGGGCCCCAGAGTGAATGTGACATGCTGCTGAGCCCCCAGCTGACCTGCAATAAACCTTTGTTGTTTTAAGCCACTGATATGTTTTGGGGCTGCTTGTATCACCACAGAAGCTAGCCTGCCTGGAATCGCATGTAAGGTACTTAACACATAGTGACCTGTCAGTTTGGATGAGAGGTGAGCACATGGGGGTAATTCATTTACTCATTCAACAAAAATTTGCTCATCACCATCTGTATGCCACACACAGTGTATCTCTTGGTGAGGGGGCAGATTGAGTTCCTGACTTTACGGAGTTCACAGTTTTGCTGAGTCTGCTGCCATTCCAAAACTGAGGAATGCAACTCGAAAGGCTTCTCATCCCTGAAGGACAGGAAATGCTCTGAAGCTGGGCTGGCCAGAACTTTGTTTGTTTTTATGTTCTCACTAATTCCTGTCCCCCAGCCCCCACTTCACTTACATTCAAAAACTCTCCATGCAAGGACAGAAGGGCAAAGAATAATTATCCCTGAGCAAGAACCAAAGATCTGATGGGTATAGGGGAAGTAACCTGGTCGGTGCTGGTTCTGGGTACCCTAAAGGTGTGATTCTAGCCTGGCAATGGCACTGTTATTGATGCCTCTGCTCTGAGTTCCCTGACCCAGTATGTCAATACCGTATGCAACACAATGGCCCTCCTATACGGAAATCTATATAAGTTTCCTATAGTTCACCCATACAAATGTACATCCTGTCTAGCCCCTGCTATCCTACTAGACTGAAATAAAACCAAATGTTTTCCATTATGACATACCATCCACCTGCTCTAGGTGCGCTAGACCCACCTGACCTTCAGTCTTAGGACAGCTTTCTGAAGAAGCCAAGAAGCAATAAATTAAAGGGCTATTTATTTCACTCCCTTCCTGGAAACAAATGGTATTTGGTGAAGCCTGGTGATAATCCACACTGGGTCCCTGGCAGAGGTCGGCAGAGGGTCTGAGCTCTAGTATAGAGGTTCACTCTACAGAGGTGGGAAAGCAGAGAGGTCCCGGTTGCATTTTTCCCATTGCCACATGAGAAGGAGTGTTGGTGGTGTTGGACTTTGAAAGTCAAGGCAGAACATCCTTTCATGTTGAATCCAGCAGGAGAAACCTGGGCTAGGCAGGCATAGAAACGCCCCAGCCCTGGCTGCTACCTAGCAGAGTGCTCTGGGGCTTCCATGTTTTCTTCTTGGCCCCTAATAAAGATAGAAGGAAGAACTCTAAGGGAGTTGGTGATTAGCTCCTTCTTCATGCCCAGGAGAATTCTGAAATGAAATATGTATTCTTGGTGTAGCTTTAAGCAAGGTTGATGATGTGGGACAAAAACAAGCCACAAAACATCGACTTGGGATTCACACTGCTTCAGGGTGAGTCCTGGCCTTGCCACTTACAAGATACGTGGTCTAGAATCATTTGATCTCTCTAAACCTCAGTTTTCTTACCTGTAAAATGGTAATATTGACACCTATTTTATAGATGGTGTTCAAATAATTAAGTGATGTGATATATTTTAAGCATTTAGCAATGTTTGGGGCAGAGAGGATTTTTAATATGTGTTTGTGCTTTTTCCTTTGTCCTTCTAAAGCAGGTACAACTAAGCACTTGTTTTTGCCCTTGTATCTCTGTAAAGAACATCAGAAAGCATCTTTGTGTGTTATGCATTTAACATACATCATATTTTTTTATCCTCCCAATAATTTTATGACTAAGTACTACAATTATGCTCATCTTTTAAAGAAACTGAGATTCAAAGAGATTAAGCAACTTGATTAATGATAACAAAGATAGTACTTGTCACAGGTAAGACTTGCATTCTAGTCATTAAACCCAGAGCCCCTTTTCTTTTTCGTACTTGCTTTTTCTTTAAAATTTGCATGGATCCTGACTTTGTAGTGGCCAGAGATCAAGCTGCGTTCTCTCTGCCCCTGCCTACAAATATTCCTGTTTCCACTTCCATTAGAAATACCTTGACCTAAGGTCAACACTAGACATGTTGAGCCTTTACTGAGGAAGGGGGAATAGTTGTTAGGTTGAGTGTGACCCCCGTATTCTGTAGGACTGGGACACCATAATTTAATCCTGGTAGGGTCTCAGACAGGCAATAAAAAATAAAAAATAATGTATGTCTGTTGTCTTTCTACCCCTCACCCCCAAACCTCATCCCCATCCCAGGGATGCACACCTGCATAGAATGCACCCATCCTTGCAAGGTCACCTCTGGGTGTCTGGGTTTCTCTACTGAAGGTCATCGCTTGTCTCAAGGTATGACACTCTTCTGAGTTCCATTAATCATGCCATCTCCTCATTTTAAGGGGCCAAGGAGTGGTAAAAGTCTCAGAGTACTCCATGCCAGTGTAAATAATGCCTTATCAAACCTTCCTTAATTTAGCCTAATTTCCTGATGGGATCCTGAGTGACATAATAAATACCTCTAAATGGTACTAGGAAAGTGTACACCATACTAAAGCCCTCAACTGCTCATTGTCCTTTTAGAACTGTTTTTCTCTCTTGAGGGTATCCTAAGTTGTAATTTTAATTTAGTTTTCTCTCTATGTAAAAAGCACTGGGATCTGGTGATGTGGGCATAGTTAAGTAATTTTTAATATGACTTAATCTCAGAAAATAGCCTAGCTGATTTTCAGAGGTGGTAGTCTGCTCTGGCTGCTATAACAAAATACCGTGGATTGGGTGGTTTAAACAGGAATTTATTTCTTACAGTTCTGAAGACTGGAAGTCCAAGATCAAGGTGCCATCAGTGATCAGTTCCGGTGAGATCACTCTTCTGGGTTGCAGAAGGTCACATATTTTCTGTGTCCACGTATGATAAAGAGAGCAATTCTAGTGTCTCTTCCTCTTCTTAAATGGGCACTAATCCTATCGAGGAGCTCCACACTTATGACATCATCTAAGCCTAATCCCCTCTCAAAGGTTTCCCTCCTCAAACCATCACATTTGGGGTTGGACTTCTTCAGATGAACTTTGTGGGGAAACATTCAGTCAATTAAAATAATGTACTGAGACAAATGGAGTCAGATCACGATGTTGGCTAAAAATGTTAGTGGTAGCACTTGCTGACTATTAGATCCCAGTTTACTTAAGCACTCTGTATCTGAATTTCATCTATTAAAAAATAGATTTTTCCCAGAAGTTACTCTAAGAATTAAATGAGTTATTACATATGCCCATAAGACATTCCTAGAGATAGGTGTTTGTATATGAGTTACCTCCAGGAATCCACATGAAAGTAAACAGAAACACTGGAATCCTCCAAGTTATTTAAAGACCCAGACAGCATACTTTTGAAGTGACATAGAAATTGTAAACACGTTGTTAAAATGTTAAAGATCATGCAGTATTGCTTCATAAAACTGCATGTTCCATAAGTTGTTCTGAAATTATTTCATATATGCTTCATCTCATCTCCTAGTGACTCCTGCCAGAGAAATACAACACCAGAGAAGCTCTTGGTGCCTTCTTTGGTAAGTAAACACGGAAGTGTCACCCATGTATTACAATAAAAAAATCTCCAAGGTATTGTGTCAGAAGCTTTCAGATACTTCTGTCCCACACTCCCACCTGAAACCAGACTTCTGACCTCAGTGAACTTAGAATAAATTCCTACTTTACTGCCTTCTACCCCACTACTCATTCACTTTTCAGTTCAAACTGAATGTACAGATCTTCCCCAATCCATCGTAAATTAATAATATTGTAAGTATAAAATGCACATACACCTAACCCACTGAACATCATAGCTTTTGAATACAGAATGTTTGTAAATTTATTGATTGTTTACGCTCGTGATTGCATGGCTGACAAGGAGCTGCAGCTCACTGTTGCCCAGCATCATGAGAGAGTTTAGTAACATGTATCACTAGCCCGGGAAGAAGATCAAAATTCAAAACTTGAAGTATGGTTCTATTGAACACGTATCACTTTTGTACCATCATAAAGTCAAAAAATCATAAGTTAAATCATTATGAGTTGGGGACCACCAGTATTTATTTGTTGCTAATACATTTGTGTGTCTCCCTCCTACCCCTCCTCACAAAGTGGCACCTGATCGGTGATTTGAAATTTTTATTTATACCTTTGTGGCCATATTTCCTTGAGTGGAAAAAGTTATGCTGGGCTTATAACGAAAATTTTTAATTTACTATTCCTTTATTTGTTTATCTTCATTTTCCACCCAGTTCAACCATAAGTTAGAAGGAACTAGGGTCTCTTAAATTAATAGAATTTGAGGGCTTGTCTATAGCTTCTCCCAGTTTTACTTGATCCTTGGCCCTCAGATTGTCAAGTAAAGACCATTTCCATGCTCTTCTTTCTTCTTTACTCTCCAGAGCTGATGGCACCTGCTCTTAACTATCTCCCAAAGAGAACGTGAGGATGAGTCATTTGACTTCCAAATTTGTCTACACAACCTGGGCCTTCCTCCTGAACTCTAGACTTAATATCTACTTGGAAATGTCTAATAAGCATCTCAAATATGCCACATCCAAGATAGAACTCTTATTTCCAACATGTACCCTTGTCAACTCCCCAAAAAGGGTAAAAAACAAGACAGAATAAAACTAAAAACAAAAACAAAATCATCTTCAAGTTTTCCCCAGGTCGGTAAACAGTAACTTGAGTTGCTTTGCCTACAAAGCTTGGCATTATCCTTGACTCATCTCTTTCTCTCATAGTCCACATTTGATATATCAGCAAAACTATGAGCTCTGCCTTCAGAATGTATCCACTTCCCAGCATAGCCACTACTGTGGTTCTCATAGCTCTAGCTTCCTAACTGTTCTTCCAGTTTCTACCTTTATTCCCTGTATTAGTCATCAATTGATGGATGACAAATCATCACAACATTTAGTGGCTTAAGACATGCATTTATACCTAACAGTTCTGTGAGTCAGGAGTCTGGACACAGCTCATCCGGGTCCTCTGCTTCAGGGAATCCAACATGACTGCAATCAAGCTGTGATCAAGGGCTAAGGTTTCATCTGAAGGTATAACTGGAAAAAGATACACTTCTAAACTCACATGATTGTAGACAGGGCTCAGATCCTCCAGGTTATTGGGCAGAGGGTCTCATTCCCTTTTAGGTTATTGGCCAGAGGCCACTCTCATCCACACTTCTGTCTCATGTGGGCTTCTCCAACATGGTTTATTTTTCATCAAAGTGCAAAAGTCAAGAATGCAATAGAGAGACTGCTAGTCAGACAGAAGTTATGATTTTGTATAATCTAATCACAGAAGCATTATCTCATTACCTTTACTATATTCTATTGATAAAAACAAGTCACAGATCCTTCCCATAAACAAGGGAAGGGATTACATGAGAGCATGAATACCAGGAGGCAGGAATCATTGGGTGCCATCTGAGAAGTTGCCTACTACATTCTCCTAGAGTTTCTTTTTCATGCCATGGTCATAGCATGAATCAGGTCATGCCATACCTCTATTCCAAACTTCCCAGGTGTTTCCTATTTAACTTACAACAGACTCTAAATTCTTCATATGTAATCTTGCACTATCCACATCTCATCTTACACTACTCTCCATGTATTCACTCTGGTCCAGATGTACTGATTTCTTTCCGGTTCCTCAAACCCACCCAGCACGGTCCTATTTCAGGGCCTTTGCCCTGTGATTCACTCTACCTGAAGTTCTCTTGCCCCACATACATCTATGGTCTGCCCTTCACTAAATTCAGTCTTTTGCTCCAATACCATTTTTTTAGAGAGTCCTTTCTGGGCTATGCTATCTAGAATAGCAGTTCCTTCATTGCTCTCTGCCTTCTTACCCTTCTTTATTTTTAACCTCAATATTGTTTTTCAACCACATAAAATATTATGTAATGTATTTAATTGTTTTCCCCACTAAAATTAAAGCTACATGAAACAAAGCCTTTGTCCATTTTGCTCATGCAATATATATATAAAATAACCTACATGGTAAAATAAAGGGAAAGTTTATTAGGACAAACACAAGCACTAGAGAAGGAAAAAAAGAGTCCAATTCCTTCTAATAATTATTCTGTAATCATCCAAAAGAGCAGAGCAAAGTACTATGCTCTGATCACTAGAGAGAGATGTATCTTCCTTTAATTAAGATGAGATTTCCTTAAAGGACATTTAGTTCCTTTACTGCTATCCCATCAAGCAACTTTCTATCACTAACTCAGTTTTATAATTGCCTTGTTTCTAGGAAGCACTGAATGGAGGGCTAGTGGGCATGAGTGTTCTGATCTCTAGAGTTGTTCCTTCTCACTGTTCTCAGTATCTCCCTTAGCAATTAGTAAAATGACATTCCTGTTTATGAGGTAGCATCGGAGCTGAAATTTAAGTAAACTCACAGCATCAAGGTTACGAACCTGGACAGCCAAGGACTCAGCTCTCTTCAGTGGGCTCCTCCTCCCCTGGGTGGTGGCCATGATGAAGCACACCTGGAAGCGTTATCCAGTCTCACCACTGGTATCATCTGGTATTCCGGAGAGGCATATATATTTTGGTTAGATTCAAGTTCATGTTTGTTTTGATGCAGCAATTATGGATCTTCAAAATTAACTTAAATGAGTTTAAGGTTTACAGTTTGCAACTGGGAGAAAAGGGAGACATTCCTCACACAAGGTTTACTTTTTTTAATTGAAATATCATCAATACACAATCCTATATTGGTTTCAGGTATACAACATAGTGGTTCAACCGTTACCCATATTATTAAATTCTCACCCCCAATAGTGCAGTTACTATCTGTCATCATAGGAAGATGTTACAGAATCACTGGCTATCTTCTCCATGCTATATACTACCGTTGCTGTGACCAACTTATGGTTGAGAATTTTTGTGCTCTTTTACCCCCCTCATCATCCCCACCCATCCAACCCAACCCTCCCCCATGGTAACCACCACTCACTTCTCAGTGTCTATGAGTCTACTGCCATTTTGTTCATTTTGTCTTGATACTCCACAAATAAGTGAAATCATATGTTATGTGCCTTTGTCTGGCCTATGTAATTTAGCATAATATGCTCTAGGTCCATCCATGTTGTTGCAAATGATAGGATTTCCTTTTTGTGGCTGAACACTATACCACTGTGCATATGTACCACGTCTTCTTTACCCATTCATCTATTGATAGGCACTTTGGTTGATCCCGTATCTTGGCTATTGTAAATAATGCGACAATAAACATATGGATGCATATATCTTTTCAAATCAGGGATATTGTTTTCTTTGGGTAAATTCCTAAAAGTGGGATCACTGGGTTTAATGGTATTTCCATTTTTAGTTTTTTGAGGAACATCCCTACTGCTTTCCATCGTGCCTGCACCAATTTACATTCCCACCGGTAGTGCAGGAGGGTTCCCTTTTCTCCACATCCTTGCCAAAAGTTGTTATTTTTTGTCTTTGTCTTCTGAATGGTGTGAGGTGATATCTCATTTTTGTGCTTTTGATTTGCATTTTCCTGATGGTTAGCCATGTGTTGGCTGTCTATTATCAGCAGAACAAAAAGGCAACCTACAGTATGGGAGAATAGATTGTAAATGATTTATCTGATAAGGGGTTAACATCGAAACTATGTGAAGAACTCATACACCTCAACATCAAAAAAACAAATAACCTGATTAAAAAATGGGCAGAGGACCTAACCAGACATTTTTCCAAAGAAGAAACACAAAGTTTACTTTAATGGAAAGATTCTCATTTAGTAAGCTGCAGCAAAATAAAACAAAAGTGCTGCAGACATTTTTCTCTCAGTAGCTACCTAATAAAGCCTAAACTGGCCAACTTCCATGCCCTTCAGGGTTCCAAATATACAAACAGGAAGTTAACATTTCCATAGCAATACCAATTCTGTAATAAAAGCTGAAGAGAAACAATAAAACAAAAGGTCAGGATAAAAGCAATTTACATTTTATTAACACTAACACTACATCAGAATAGATTTTAAATATTAAAATGGAGTCAGTATAATTAGAAAAGCTTTTTTTTTTTTTTTTAGGAATGGCTTTGTTCTGCTGTGGTAGCTAGATGCAAACTTAGACAGCATTTCCAAATTCCCTCAACTTGTGGATTCTGCTGTGACAGCTCATGGATAATTTTGTCCATGAGCAAGTTTACTTATTTCAAAGGAAAGCTTGTGATTCATGGTGTTGCATGTTTGCTTGTATTCACTCCATTATTGTGAGATCCCATACACTCTAATGAGTGTAATAAAGACAGTGATTTCAAGCAAGTCAAATGAATTCTTTCAGACATCTCTAGTAAGTGAACAGGATGGATTATTCTTAGAGCATGGGCATAGCTGGTAGATGGTAAAGTTTCCTCAACTTCCCAGTACTTGGACCTTTCTTTTCTAATGTATGAAGCATTTCTTTCATCTAACTATGGAAAATGGAGGTGATTTCCTGAGAGAGTGAGGGTGTTCTTCAACATTGCATAGAAGAAATTGTCAATCTCAAAGTCCTCTAATTGCAGTGTACTGAGCACTTACAGGTAATTGTGAAAGAAACTGTGTAAATGGAATACTGCCCTCTTATGGTTTCACAAATCTTCCTAGGGCCAAACATAAAATCCCTGTCTCTAGTTAGAGCCATTAATAGAAGAATTTAATTAACTGGAAGGACCTAAATATAAGCTACACTTTAATTTTACAAATTACAACATAAAATTGCATGGAGCTGACTCATTGCAAGTTCATATGTCCAGATAGTGTAGAGCCAAGGATGGAACACAGTCCCTCACTTTTCCCATTTTAATATATATTTGAATACAATTTTAATTTTGGGCTTCATTATTTATTTCCAAAGAATACACAAAACATTGATTTTATCAAAGAAAATTGTAATAATATTAATTATAGTAAGTCAATATGATGTCAAAACTCCTCAGATATCAGCAGGCTTCTGCATTTTATCAAATCAGAAAATTTGGAAAGTTTTCAAATACCAAACTCAAAAATTTCCAGTTTTCAGGACTTCTTCCCTGTGTCTCCCAAGATCATTCTTATTCTTATTCATCATCTGAGGATCACAGAACCATCTAACACATGGTAGTCTGTCAAACAGTGGAAAGCAATTTTTTTCTCCTAAAAACTTCCGTCTCTTCCAAGATAACCATTTGTATTTTTATTTGTTCCTATGCTGTCACTTTTTATTTAATCAGCTTTATTGAGGTAAAATTTACATGCAATAAGATGCCTCCAGAGCTTTGATATTAACTTTTGTTTGTGAGCCGTCTAGTTTATGGGATTTTTGTTATGGCTGCCTGAATGAAGAAGACACCATGCTATTATTCTAAGTACTGTACCCTCTGCTTGCAGATGGTTATCCTGTTTGAAGATATCATTTGATTATTGGGCTTTCAAAAATGTGGCTCTCATAAATGACCAGAATCCTAGTAAGTATTCCTTTCTTTGAAAAGATGCCAAAAGTGTATAGCTTACTTACAGAAATATGTAAAACTGAAGAATGGGGAACTGACTGCTTAATGGGTATTGGATTTTCTTGGTTGGTGTTTAAAATGTTTTGGAACTAGATAGAAGGTATGAATGCACAATATAGTGAATCTACTAAATAACACTCAGTTTTACACTTAAAATGCTTAACTTTGTATTATGTGAATTTCACTTGAATTTAAAAAAAGCGTGTAGGAAATAATAGGGGAAGAGAGGAGTGGGCCTCAGCCCATCTCTGAGGGACAGTCGGGGCTGCTGTGGGACCGTTCCTGGAGTGTGGAGAAAAAGGAGAACCACATTTAGATATATTCTAAGTAACGCTTTAGAGCTCCATGTATAAGTAGAAAATTCTAAAAGTTTCCAGTGAGAAAAATAGATAACAAGAAATATAAAGGAACAAGAAATATTGGTAAGAAACTTCCCATTTTAAAAAACAGATTCAGAAGACACTGAAGCAATGTCTTCAAAATGCTGAGAAAAAAAGACTATGAGCCTTGAATTTTATGCCCAAACCAACTATCATTCATGAGAATGGCAAGATAAAGACAGATATAGACATACCTAGACTTAGGACATATGTCACCCCAAACTCTTTCTGAAAGATTTTTTCAAGTTATATTTCAGCAAAATTTCAAAAGACTTAGAAGATATACATTTTTTACAGACTACAGTTTGATCCCAATGTTGCAACTTAATTAAACACAGATTGTTGGAAGTTTCATTTAACTTCCCTGAACCTACAATGTAAGTGGGGATAAAACACCTGCTTGTAGCAGGAGGATACAGGTTAGAGCTTCTAGGACCTGGTTCATGGACCTGGTTCATGCATAGGGTATCAACAAATGTCAGGTAACTTTCTCTGCTACTTCTTCAAGGGTCTTCATAGACTTCTTAGTGTCAGGAAAGCAAGAAACAAGGAGGTAAAAGGAAAGAGAAGGAATAGAAATTCTGAGTTTGTTTCTTTTTTTGGTACTAGATTCCTTAATTAGTTAGGATTAATTTCTTAGATTTCTAGGCCCAGAATTAATTTCTAAGATTACTAGGCCCAGAAATGTAAGAAATATTTTCAGAGAAGGCCTAAGTAAAACTAAAGTTATAAGATACATGCCCACCGATTTCTTCATATAGGGAAACATATATATACCACATTTTCTTTATCCATTCATACATCAATGGACACTTAGCTTGTTTCCGTATCTTGGCTACTGTAAGTGATGCTGCAATGAACATAGGAGTGTATTTATCTTTTTTAATTAGTGTTTTCATTTCCTTTGGATAAATACCCCAAAAGTGGAAATGCTGGATTATATGGTAGTTCTATTTGTTTTGAGGAACTTCATGTTTTACATAGTGGTTGCACCAATTTACATTCCCATCAATAGTGTACAAGGGTTCCCTTTTCTCCAAATTTTCACCATTGCTTTTATTGCTAATCTTTTTGATAACAGCCATTCTAACAGGTGTTAGGTGATAGCTCATTGTGGTTTTTATTTGCACTTTGCTGATGAGTAATGAGGTAGAATGTCTTTTTTGGAAAAAATACTATTCAGTCTTCTGCCCAATTTTTATTATATTTTTTGTTTTTGCTACTGAGTTGTGTGCATTCTTTATTTATCTTGGATATTAGCCTCTTATCAGATATATGATTTGCAAATATTTTTTCTCATTCAGTAGGCTGCCTTTTCATTCTGTTGATGGTTTCCTTTGATGTGCAGAATCTATTTAGTTTGCTTAGTCCCACTTGTTTATTTTGCTTTTGTTGTTTTTGATTTGGTGTCAGATTAAAAAATCAGTGCCAAGAACTGTCAAGAACTTACTGCCTATGTTTTCTGCTAGGAGTTTTATGGTTTCAGGTCTTGCATTCTGGTCTTTATCCATTTTGAGTTTATTTTTAAGTATGGTGTAAGATAGTGGACCAGTTTCATTCTTTTGAACTAACTATCCAGTTTTCCCAACACCATTTATTGAAAAAGGCTGTCCTTTTCCCACTGTATATTCTTGGCTCCTTTGTCATTAGTTAATTGACTATAGATGGGTTTATTTCTGAGCTCTTTATTCTGTTGATTAATCTTTGTGTCTGTTTCATGCCAATAGCACATTGTTTTAATTAGTACTGCTTTGTAATATAGTGTGAAATCAGGTAGTGTGATGTCTCCAGTTGTGTACTTCTTTCTCAAGATTGCTTTAGCTATTCAAGGTCTTTTATGGGCTCATAGAAATTTTAGGGCTTTGTTCTATCACTGTGAAAAACACCATTGGAATTTTGATGGAGATTGCATTGAATCTGTAGATTGCTTTAAGTACTATGGACATTTTTCAATACTAATTTCATTTCAATATTTATTCTCAATAAGTATTTCCATTTATTTATGTCTTCTTCAGCTTCTTTCATTAATGTCTTATAGTTTATAGTGTACAGGTATTTTACATCCTTGGTTAAATTTATTGCTAGGGATTTTACTCTTTTTGATGCAAATGTAAATTGAATTGTTTTCTTAATTTCTTTCTGATAGAATTAGAGGAAGAATTTTAAAAAATTAATATTAATCCTTTCCAATTCTCCAAAAACATAGAAGTGAAGGGAATTCTTCCAAATTTATTTTATGAGACCAGCATTACTCTGACACCAAAACCAGACAAGGATGCCACAAGAAAAGAAAATTATAGACCAGTATCCCTGATAAACACAGATGTAAAATTCTCAACAAAACATCAGCAAAGTAATTCAACAGTATATTAAAAGGATCATACACCATGATCAAGTGACATTTATTGTAGGGATTCAAGGATAGTTCAACATCTACAAATCAGTCAATGTGATACAGCACACTAATAAAATGAAGGATAAAAATCATATGAACATCACAATAGATGCAAAAAAATTGCCAAAATTCAACACTCATTTATGATGAAAACTTGACAAAGCATCTGTAAAGGAAACATACCTCAACATAAGACATATGTGAGAAGCCCACAGCTAACTTCACACTCAGTGGTGAAAAGCTGAAAGTTTTTCCTCTAAGAAGAAGTTACTCTCACCACTTTTGTTAAAAAAGTATTGGAAGTCCTAGCCAGAGCAATTAGACAAGAAAAAGAAATAAAAGGCATCCAAATTGGAAAGAAGTAAAACCATCACTATTTGCAGTTGACATATTATATAGAGAAAACCATCAAAAACATAGAATAGATGAATTTAGTACAGTTGCAGGATGAAGATCAATGCACAAAAACACACTAATAGAAGATATATTTTATCAAAAGCATTGATAAGCAAAAAAAACCCAAAAAAAAACAGTAAAACTTTTTGTTAAAAATAAATAGTGCCCCAGTTTCTACTCTAACAGGTAGATCTTGGAAGTCAGCATTACTTTCTTAACAACACAAACAAGCTGGACAAACTAAGAGTTTTTCTTGAACTCATCAGAGAATTGCCATCACATGCAATCCATTATCTTAAAATCTAGAGAGAAGAGGTCATCCAGAGAGACAGAGTTGAGCTCCATTTACCTGGAGCAGAGGCTGCTGATGAAATTATAGCATTGAGAATATAGTCAATAGTTCAGTAACATCTTTCTTTACTAACAGATAGCAATTACACTAGTTGCGGTAAGGATTTAATAATGTATGTAACTGTCAAATCACTATGTTATATACTTGAAACCAATATAATATTGTACATCAAAATATACTTGAATTAAAAATTTTTTTAATGAATCCATAAATTGGTAGAAACACTTAAGTTATAATTTTGACAAACTGTTGGGGGCTGACTATGGACTAACTTGCAAGTGAGGTCTTTCCATAACATAAAATTTTCTACTCTCCAGAAGAAATGCCTTTTCCAGAAAGCAATTCTAAAACCTTATCCCAGCTAAGAGTAGGATCTTTTTTCCTATTCTTCCAGCCTTCTTGTTGCACTTAAAGGAGAAAAACATAGTTAGAAGGGGTCAGGCCTCAAGGAAATAGACTGAGAATGAGGCAACCATGGAAGAGAGTAGGAGACCGGGAGGGAAAGGGAAAGCAATGCTACTGGAGAAATACACACACACACAAAGCTAAGAAGAAAATACACACACACACACACACACACACACAAAGCTAAGAAGAATAAGAAGAATACATCTCCAGGAAGAGGAAGGGAATTGAAGTGGGGAAAGGAAAAGGAACATATTTTCTTGCCTATATTGTTTGCATCTTTATATGTATATTCATGTATAGCTTATAATTTGGAAAATGATTTTTTTAAAACTACAGTCTTCTAAATAGATCCTGTCTTAATATTGAAGGAAGGGGGATGGGTCTCAGTTTCTCATTCTTCACTGTGAATAGAAAGGCAAAATTAACATGGAGGTATATATAAAAATACAAACTATTTCTCTCCACAAAACCTTGAAATGTCATGTTAGGAGATAGAGCTTCAAAGGAAAATAATTTGTTCCAGGAACACATTTTTTCATTTAAACACAATCTTCATTCTGAAGGGAAAACAAATGATTGTAATATGATCGCACTGGCCTTTATGCCCACTCGTTTCCACAAGTGGTATATGAATCCATGGAAAGAACCACATCAAGGCAGATTAGACCGCTGAGAACTTCAAGGAAATCACGTCAACCACACATGATTTATCTGTGGAACTTTGTTAGAAAAAGCAAGCTGAGTGGCCTAGAGCTAATGGGAAAAGTTACCAAGTTAGAAGTCATCTTTTGAAATGATATGAAGAAGCAGGAATCGAAAGGGTCTGGAAACGCCATCCATTTCATCTGCTTGGGGCTCTCTCTTTTGGGGGGAAATAAAGAACGTTACTGCTGCTCAGTGTACTTAAAGTCTTCATTACCTTCACAAATTGGACAACCTTTTATTCTCTCAATCTAAGGAAAATTTTTAGTTTGTTTTTACTTTTGTACATTAATTATATACCAAATATACTTTCTTTTGAGCATTTAAAATATTTCTAGGGCTTCACAAACATCATTTATGATCTACACATCGGTGTTGCAGTGTGTTAAGACAGGGCGGTGAAGCCACACTGCCTGGGATGGCATCCCAGCTGTGCCACTGGTCACGGGCCACTTGTTAGGTATTTATCTCCCTGTGTCTTGGTTACCTCGACTTGAGAGTGGGGAATTAGTACACATTTCATCAGTCGTGGGGATTGAGTGAGATAAAATGAGCAAATTTCCCACAGTCCTCTCTGGTACAAATTAATAATGACAAACAATAGCTACTAAAATCCTCATAATCAACCCCATGAGGTAGATCCTTATTCTATGGACTAGAGTGCTGAAACCTTAAGAGAAGGAGTGACTGGCCTGAGATTTTACAAATGGTGGATGGGAATGGTAGACAGAATGCAAGCCCAGTGGAGTCCAGCTGCAAAACCCCAACTCAAAGCACTCATTAAAACTGGTTATTTTGTTAACTTTTTCACCTCACAGGCTTTTACCTTTACACTTAGATATAAACTCTAGGAAGACAAGAACAACTGTACCTTGTTATAAATTTTCTTGTGTGGCCCAGTTCAGTGTCCTGGAAATACAGGCAAAATTGTTGAAATAGAGGAAATTGACTTTTATAAAGCACTTAAGAAATATCTGCCAAGAACTATGGCCAGATATTGAGATAAATTACCTTTACATTTAATTTTTACAACAATCTTAAGAGGCAGATGTTTACAGCTGTTACCAAGAGAATGAATTTTTCTTTCCTCAGACTGTGAATTACTGTGAAATGCATGCAGTAATTGAGAGCAGGATTTTAAAGCCAAATCAAATTTGGTAAGAAACTTGGTTCTGCTACTTACTGAAGTGTGTTATTTTGAGCTATGAAACTTCTCTGAGTTTCATTTATAAAATGTAAATAGTAAATACAGCCTATCAATGGATAATTGTATTAAATGAGGCAATACATTTAAAGCCTTCACGGGAATCACAGTAAGCAGTCCATAAATGTTAGTAGTTATTACTGTAGTTTCTATTGTTGTCACTATTAATATGAGTTTCAATAGAGGCAGCTGAAGTCAAAGGACCTTTCTTAAATTTCAGCCTATCAGTGTCTGCTCTAAAATGAGAAATATCCTCTTTAAAAGTGGGAAGGCTTTGAGGAAGGGGGGGGGGGTCAATTATACAGGTGATTGAACCAGTTTAAACAACTCTGCTGGACAGTACCTGTCCCAAATAATCATTGTTCAGTAAAAGAGTTGGCAGAACTGTTTTAAAAAAAAAAGTAAAAATACAACTTCATGACAGGACAGTTGCCTCTAAGTTTATAGGAAAAGGCAGCAAGTGATATGCAGATGGAAATCTGTATGCAACCAGCATTTCTTCTGAAGCGAAAAAATCTGACCTCTAAAGGGACTATGAAGCTAAACCTATTGAGATTTTATCATCATTTGGTGACTGCACTTCAGAAAATGCCTCGGGGAAGAAAACTTCACACAAAGTATTTTAATCTCATTCTACTTTTAGAAACTATGGTAAACTACCGTTCATCCAGAATGGTAAATTGGGTAAATTGAATGTTAGGTATAATCAAATAATATTTATCAAGTGTCTTAAATTTACTAAAATCAAATATTCACATAGACATTATACTATAAATGTTATACATAGTATGAGGAAAATATTTTTTGATTATTCTGAAATCCCTTTAGATTCTTAGAGTGACCCAGTGTTATCATTATGAACCTTGATTGTTATGATAACATAAACTTCAGCATAAAGGAAGATTTTCTCACAAGAGAGAGCAGTTCCAAGATGGACTGGGCCATGCTGGAATGTCATGAATTCCCTTTTCCAAAGAGATGCAAACAAAAGCTGCAGAAGGTTGCTAAGCAGATGTTATCATAGGCTGAGGAGCCCCAGAGCTGACGTTTCCCAAAGCCATTCTGTTTGTTTCCTAGGACTGTGATAACAAAGAACCACAGACTTGCAGGTTTAAACAACAGAAATTTACTTTCTCCAGTCCCAGATCATGATGTTGGCAGGGTAGGTTTCTTCTGAGGCCTCTCTGTCTGGCTTCTAGATGGCCATCTTCTCCCTGTGTCTTCACATGGTTTTACCTGTGAATGTGTCTGTGTCCTAAAGTCTTTTCACCAGGACACTGGTCATATTGGATTAGGGCCCATCCTAATTTAACCTCATTTAACTTTGATTACCTCTTTAAAGAGTCTACCTCCAAAAACAATCACATTCTGGAGTTCTGGAGGTTAGTACTTCAACACTGAAATTGAGGAGGTGGGGGGCAGGGCATGCACAATTCAGCTCATAACTCTGGTTTTGCAGGAGAATCACATGGGGCTCTGGCTGAAGATTCAGAATTCTCAGCTCCACTACTGCAGAATGACTCATGAGGTCAAGGGAGCTGCATTTTTAACAAGTGTCTCACATTAAGATCTGCTCTTTTGCAAATGGCACAAAATCCATCTCAAGCTGGCTCAATCAAAATAAAGTATTTGTTCGCTTACACAACTGAATATTTCAAGAATAAGGCTTTAGGTGTACCTTGATCAAGAGTCTAAGTGATACTATAACATCCCGACATCTCTTTTTTCATTTCTTCCACCCGCTTACTCAGTGTTTGGAATGGCTTGACCCATCCTCTGTGACTTTGGAGGTTCATATTTAGCAGAGTTGAGGATACATCTGATTGACTTTTTAACCTATGAGATGGCAAAATGGATCTGAAGTGGCAAAATTAGAGAAGGGTTAAAAATAGGTGAATTTTCTGTGCTTTTGGATAAGGTTGCTAAGGGACCTAATACAAAAGAATGTACCATTATACAAAGAATAATTCAAAGGTTATTTTAGCAGATGAATAACACTGAGTGTTTACTTAGTACCTCCTACGGGTTAGCCTCTCTGCTGAGTGCTTCACACATACACTTTCATGCACACTGGGTACAATTATTATCATCATTGTACAGACAGGAAATCACATCCTCCAGAGGTTATCACTTGCCACAGCAGCAGAGCTCATAAAAGGGGCAAAGCTGGGAATCATGTCTCAACCCTTTGGTTTTAAAGTACCTTCTTCTAAGTGTCACTTTTTGGTGTCTCATTGAATACTAGCTATCAGAGTTAACCCTCTCTCTCTTTGTAAAAACAATTAATGTTTCAGTGTTATGGAGATATAATTGACATACAGCACAGTTTATGTTTAAGGAGTACAGCATAATCCCTTGACTTTTAATACATTGCAAAATGATTACCACAGTTTAGTTATCCATCAGCTCAGATAGATGCCAAGAAAAAAAAATGTTTTTCTTCCTTGTGATGAGACCTTGTAGGACTGATTCTCTTAGTGATTTGCAAATAGCAGTGTTAACTATGGTCATCACATTGTACATTATATCCCTGAGTTAGCTCTCTTTAGCAGAGCTGAACTCCCTCGAATTTCGGTAGTTTTAATATGACAAGAATGCCAGGCGTGAATGGAAAACACTACTGTTTATTATAATTATCAGCACATACTAGAAAGACCAGTTGTCTGTAATTTGCAAAGTTATCTTCCAAACTCAATAGCAAAGGTCTTATGTCTCAAAGCACTGGCCACGGGAGTATCCACAAAGTGACAACTTGGTGAGCAAACGGGAAAAAAAAAAAGAGTCCACACATGCTTCTTTCTTCTCTACTGAAGCACTGAGACCTACTTGCTAACCAGGTTACTTGAAAACCAGCAGAGTCCAAAGCCTAACAAATGATGGTACAAAACCAGCATGATAAAGGGTTTGGTGTGTGTTGTCCTTAGTCAGCGAAGTGTGTTCATTTTACTACTGAATTGCAGCAAAGGTGTAGGTAGGTCTTTCCCTGGAATTTGGGCAGGATGCCTTTGTCCTACTGCTGAGAAAACGCATATAAATGCCTGAGCCAGTTTAGTGGTCTTTGCCAAAATAGCTTGGCCTTTTGACTCACCCAGGCTGCCAGTAAACTGTTTTTTTGTTGTTGTTCCTTCTCCACAGATAGGCTAAATCTAGCAACAGCATGTCAGTGCACTCTGGATTGGATGCTACATAGAATGTGTTTTAGTTTGGGAATCCTTGTTGTCAACACACACGAGTATCAGAGAACATAGGGACAGAAAGGTTCTGGCAAAAATGTTCAGTAGTCAGCCAAGCCTCATAGATTTATAGATAAGGAAACAGAAGCCCAGGAAGGTTAAATGACCCACAAGGCCACATGGCTGGTAAGAGGCAGACCCCAGATTACTCTGGGCTGCTGGTGTGTGAAGCACTGGTTTTCACCAGAACCTTAGCAGGAGGTTTCAAGATTTCAAAGTCCCCCTCAAAAGCAGTTTGAAAAAATGGCTCAGTCACAGAACGTCCTCACACCTCCAGGTGGCCCAAGCTGGGTCTGCATTGTATAAGGAAACTAGCAGTTCAACCTTCACCCAGCAGGTCAAAACCTCTGTGTTTCCCCCCCTACTTTTAAAGCTAGGCAAAAGTTTCATTTTTTTTTATTAAGGTACCATTGATATAGCAAAATTTTCATTTTTATGCAGATCTTTCCTTTTCTCTCTTGGGTCTTTCTATCATCTGCTTGGATATTAAGATAGGTTTTTGCTGTATTTTGTTTTTAACTGAGAAGGATATAAATTATTTCTCTTTTAATTCAATTTGATAGACCTTCTGTAATGTGAAGATGGGTTTTGAAGCTGAAAAATGAAATTTGATCCCACTGAAGAAGTCAGGTATGTCCTCGGTGAGTAGATATTAAATGTCTTTTAAAACAAATATCCTGTGTAGTAGCCATTTCAAATTTTCATAAAGGAAATTAGGGACGGATGATGGAGCAACTTCTATTGAGTGTTTCTGTTTTACAGGTGAGGAAACTGACCCTCAGAAAATAAGGAACTGGGGTAAGGTTGCAAAGCTAGGAAGTGACAAACAAGGATTTGAACATAGATCTGAGGTGTTAGTGTCCTCATTTTTAAATGAGAAAACAGATTCAAAGCATTTATGCTTCAACCGACACAGCAAGGTAGTTATGACCCAGCTCAAGTAATTCTGAGCTGTATAAAGAATCTCTTTTTCTTCATTGGTTGTGCTTTGTAACTAGTGAGCATTTGGGTATCTTCTGCAGTCTGGAAACTCTCAGGTGTTACTGGACCATGTTTCATGGCATGGATGAATATATAGAGTGATCTAAAGCCCAGGTAGATGCCACTCTCAGTCACGGTGTGCTAAGGAAAACTTTCAGATGGCAATAAAATGAAGGTGTGGGGCTAAATAAGTGAAGGACAATCTATTCTATATCACGTGATAAAATCAGTTCATCGTAAACACTGCCAAAGCAGCTGCACTGAGGCTGGGTACCAGGGAGCTTGGTGGACAAGTGATCATGAGCACATTCCATGTATGATTCACCAATCATGCACCAGGTGACCTTCAGTGAAACCATTATCCTCAGTATTTTCCTCTACAAAAGAAAAATAATATTCTTCTTGCCACCTCACAAGGTTGATTTAAAGACAAAATGAGACATTGTATATAAAAAATATGTGTATCCCTGTTAAACGTGATGAATTTGGATGGAATAAGCTATGTTTGCCTCTTACCTATGACATATTCCCCAAAGAGAATAAATGTTTCAGTTATTGCCAGTGTGGATAGACTTAAATGCTATGTGTGTAGTTAATAACTAATATCTTTCCTAAGCTTCTATTCAATTGGTTCCATTGCTATGTAAAATTAAGGGAATGGAGTGAATTGGCCACATGTGGTGGAGCCATGAAATCATCACCATGAACAAATAAAGGGATTAATCTCTTAAGCACTGTGCTGGGGAAGCTCATGAATAGAAAAAGTTCTTGAAATGCCAAGTGATTTTTATAATCTTGTGCATATGATCTTGGGATGAAAATTTAAGAACTTGGATTTGCTTGCCTTAATTGTGTCTTTGCAAATAATGGCCCATCCCTGATATAATATTTATTGTCATGTTAGCATTTACTGCTTCTTATTTACCAGACACTAAAGGGGCAAAGCTGGGAATCATGTCTCAACCCTTTGGTTTTAAAGTACCTTCTTCTAAGTGTCACTTTTTGGTGTCTCATTGAATACTAGCTATCAGAGTTAACCCTCTCTCTCTTTGTAAAAACAATTAATGTTTCAGTGTTATGGAGATATAATTGACATACAGCACAGTTTATGTTTAAGGAGTACAGCATAATCCCTTGACTTTTAATACATTGCAAAATGATTACCACAGTTTAGTTATCCATCAGCTCAGATAGATGCCAAGAAAAAAAAATGTTTTTCTTCCTTGTGATGAGACCTTGTAGGACTGATTCTCTTAGTGATTTGCAAATAGCAGTGTTAACTATGGTCATCACATTGTACATTATATCCCTGAGTTAGCTCTCTTTAGCAGAGCTGAACTCCCTCGAATTTCGGTAGTTTTAATATGACAAGAATGCCAGGCGTGAATGGAAAACACTACTGTTTATTATAATTATCAGCACATACTAGAAAGACCAGTTGTCTGTAATTTGCAAAGTTATCTTCCAAACTCAATAGCAAAGGTCTTATGTCTCAAAGCACTGGCCACGGGAGTATCCACAAAGTGACAACTCGGTGAGCAAACGGGAAAAAAAAAAAAGAGTCCACACATGCTTCTTTCTTCTCTACTGAAGCACTGAGACCTACTTGCTAACCAGGTTACTTGAAAACCAGCAGAGTCCAAAGCCTAACAAATGATGGTACAAAACCAGCATGATAAAGGGTTTGGTGTGTGTTGTCCTTAGTCAGCGAAGTGCGTTCATTTTACTACTGAATTGCAGCAAAGGTGTAGGTAGGTCTTTCCCTGGAATTTGGGCAGGATGCCTTTGTCCTACTGCTGAGAAAACGCATATAAATGCCTGAGCCAGTTTAGTGGTCTTTGCCAAAATAGCTTGGCCTTTTGACTCACCCAGGCTGCCAGTAAACTGTTTTTTTGTTGTTGTTCCTTCTCCACAGATAGGCTAAATCTAGCAACAGCATGTCAGTGCACTCTGGATTGGATGCTACATAGAATGTGTTTTAGTTTGGGAATCCTTGTTGTCAACACACACGAGTATCAGAGAACATAGGGACAGAAAGGTTCTGGCAAAAATGTTCAGTAGTCAGCCAAGCCTCATAGATTTATAGATAAGGAAACAGAAGCCCAGGAAGGTTAAATGACCCACAAGGCCACATGGCTGGTAAGAGGCAGACCCCAGATTACTCTGGGCTGCTGGTGTGTGAAGCACTGGTTTTCACCAGAACCTTAGCAGGAGGTTTCAAGATTTCAAAGTCCCCCTCAAAAGCAGTTTGAAAAAATGGCTCAGTCACAGAACGTCCTCACACCTCCAGGTGGCCCAAGCTGGGTCTGCATTGTATAAGGAAACTAGCAGTTCAACCTTCACCCAGCAGGTCAAAACCTCTGTGTTTCCCCCCCTACTTTTAAAGCTAGGCAAAAGTTTCATTTTTTTTTATTAAGGTACCATTGATATAGCAAAATTTTCATTTTTATGCAGATCTTTCCTTTTCTCTCTTGGGTCTTTCTATCATCTGCTTGGATATTAAGATAGGTTTTTGCTGTATTTTGTTTTTAACTGAGAAGGATATAAATTATTTCTCTTTTAATTCAATTTGATAGACCTTCTGTAATGTGAAGATGGGTTTTGAAGCTGAAAAATGAAATTTGATCCCACTGAAGAAGTCAGGTATGTCCTCGGTGAGTAGATATTAAATGTCTTTTAAAACAAATATCCTGTGTAGTAGCCATTTCAAATTTTCATAAAGGAAATTAGGGACGGATGATGGAGCAGCTTCTATTGAGTGTTTCTGTTTTACAGGTGAGGAAACTGACCCTCAGAAAATAAGGAACTGGGGTAAGGTTGCAAAGCTAGGAAGTGACAAACAAGGATTTGAACATAGATCTGAGGTGTTAGTGTCCTCATTTTTAAATGAGAAAACAGATTCAAAGCATTTATGCTTCAACCGACACAGCAAGGTAGTTATGACCCAGCTCAAGTAATTCTGAGCTGTATAAAGAATCTCTTTTTCTTCATTGGTTGTGCTTTGTAACTAGTGAGCATTTGGGTATCTTCTGCAGTCTGGAAACTCTCAGGTGTTACTGGACCATGTTTCATGGCATGGATGAATATATAGAGTGATCTAAAGCCCAGGTAGATGCCACTCTCAGTCACGGTGTGCTAAGGAAAACTTTCAGATGGCAATAAAATGAAGGTGTGGGGCTAAATAAGCGAAGGACAATCTATTCTATATCACGTGATAAAATCAGTTCATCGTAAACACTGCCAAAGCAGCTGCACTGAGGCTGGGTACCAGGGAGCTTGGTGGACAAGTGATCATGAGCACATTCCATGTATGATTCACCAATCATGCACCAGGTGACCTTCAGTGAAACCATTATCCTCAGTATTTTCCTCTACAAAAGAAAAATAATATTCTTCTTGCCACCTCACAAGGTTGATTTAAAGACAAAATGAGACATTGTATATAAAAAATATGTGTATCCCTGTTAAACGTGATGAATTTGGATGGAATAAGCTATGTTTGCCTCTTACCTATGACATATTCCCCAAAGAGAATAAATGTTTCAGTTATTGCCAGTGTGGATAGACTTAAATGCTATGTGTGTAGTTAATAACTAATATCTTTCCTAAGCTTCTATTCAATTGGTTCCATTGCTATGTAAAATTAAGGGAATGGAGTGAATTGGCCACATGTGGTGGAGCCATGAAATCATCACCATGAACAAATAAAGGGATTAATCTCTTAAGCACTGTGCTGGGGAAGCTCATGAATAGAAAAAGTTCTTGAAATGCCAAGCGATTTTTATAATCTTGTGCATATGATCTTGGGATGAAAATTTAAGAACTTGGATTTGCTTGCCTTAATTGTGTCTTTGCAAATAATGGCCCATCCCTGATATAATATTTATTGTCATGTTAGCATTTACTGCTTCTTATTTACCAGACACTATGCTAAGTGTTTTGTGTACATTATCATTTAATTTTCATAAGAACTCCACACATTAAGTAATATTACCAACTGAGGCATACATAAAGTAATTTTTCCAAGGTCACACAGTAAGATATAAACAACATGCATACAAGACTATCAAAATGGCTGCATTTTTGCCATTCATTTATTTACTCTTCAAGATTAATTAAAGTACTCTGTATAAGGAAGGTTTCTGTTTAGATGATATTTGAAGACATGGAAATGAAAAAAAATCACCTCAGGAGAGTGTAGCTAGAGATCAGATGCTGGCCAAGGACAGAGCCCTAGGAGTTTCCTATAGTTAAAGGTCTGAAAAAGGAAAGGAAATTGAGGAAAGAGTGTCAGTCAAGGAGGAAGAAAAACACGTAAATATGGTCTCAAAAGCCTAGAAAATGAAATTAGGAGAAGGGAGTGGTCAGATTTGTTGAACCCTACTAAGATGTTGGTTAAGGTGAGGAGAGGACAGAGAATTAGCCAATGACTTCGGGAAGACTTAAAATGTTGGTGACCCTGATCAAAATAATTTCAATTAAATGACTGTTTAATTATAGTGAGGTTAGAAAATAATAGAATATGAGGAAGTAGACACAATAAGTACACAGAGTTCTCTTAAGTGTTAGAAAGGGGAGCAGATATTGGAACAGTAGCTGGAAAGAGGTATGTGGTCTTTTTTAAAGGCTTAAGGCATATTTTTGGGCAAATAAGAATGATC